CCCATCCCACTGCACCAGTTGTCTTGAAGGTTCTTGAGTTTCTGAGCTGGGGCTCACTTGTGATAAAAAGTGTAAAATATTTTTTCTTGCTTAAAATTACCATAAAAAGAAAATTTTTAACAAAATGGATGTGATCAGGAGAGTTTTTGATTTTATTATTTCTGATTTTAATGATACAGCAATGTGAATTTTACTAGATAATATTAAATATTGCCAATAAAATATTATTTGGTGATAAGCATATATTAAAAGATTTCATTTTGATATTATTTATAAATAAGTTGTTTTTATGAAATTAAATATGAAAGTGTTATTATAAATTAATTTCTAGTAATAGAATTTTTTAAAAAAAGTTATTAGAAATATTGATTTCTTAAAGAATATATTTATTATTTTGTAATAAATAAACAATTTTATAATTATATTAAATAGACAATATTTGAAACTATTGGATGGATTAAATAATATTTATATTTTTAAAACCAATATACTTAAAAATATTATTTATTAAAAACCATAAGAAGATATATCAATTAAACAGCTTAAGTATTTGGATAAATTGTTATGAAGATTAATAATAAAGTGTTTTTCTTTAAATAATATTCTTTTATATATAGAAAGATATCTTTTACAAGTTTTAATTATTGCATTAATATAATATAAAAATCCAAATATTGTTTAGGATTTTGAATTGGACTGTAAAATACAAACAGGTTTTTGATATTTATAAATACTTGGATCAAAGTAAATTATTTTTGTATATAAGCAAGTTGTAATCATAAGAATTTATAATATTATTGTATTTTAGTAATCAATTAATAAATTTTATATTAAGAATATTTATTGTACTAATAATTGTTTAAGTTAGGATTATATGTTAATAAATAAAAAACCAATTAAGTTTTTAATATTGTTGAAATAAAATAGATATTATATTGAATGGATTTAAATTTTGAGATTCCTGATTAATTTGTTATATAAAGAACCTAATTGTTTTGATTGAATTTCTGAATTACAGATAAGATAGAACCAGACAGTTTCTTTTTTTTTTAATGAATTAAATATCTTGCATATGTATTTTCTAATAAAAAAAATAGAAAGATTGAAATGAAACTATCTATTAATATAGTTTTTTGTTTTTCTTCTAATGTTATTAGATTGAAACTGCTGTGATTAGTTAGAATTGTATTGAAATATTTGGAAAAGATTTTATAGGATTATTTTATGAGTTTATCAATTTTGATTTAGAATAGATTGAAAGTTATCTTGTTGAGAATAAGAAATACTGTATATAGAAATCATATATTTTGTTTATATTATTGATATATATTGATTAATTAATTCAAAATTTTAATCGAATTTTAATTAAAAATTTAAATTAAACCAAAGTAAACAAATGTTTCAAAAAAATAAAAAAAAGTATATGTTTAAAAAATTCTTTTTTCAATGTTTTTTTTAATAGTGTGTACTTGCTTTTGATTTTACAGACAATTTTTTTTTGTATTTGCTTGCAAAAATGTAAAAAGTTTATTTCAAAAAAAAAAAATAAACAAATAAACAAGTGTAAAAAGATAAAAACATATATATATAATAAAATAATAAAATTTTTCTTTAAAATTTTTTTTATTAAGTTGGCAAAAGAATCAATAAAAAAGAATTTTTTTTATTTAAATTTATAATTTAATATAATTTAAATTCAATTCAATCCAATTTGATACAATTTAATGCACAACTTTAATACAATTTAATATATAAAATAACCTAGTGTCTTTAATCCCAGAGCATATTCTTGACTGACTCATTAATATATTATTTGGAATTTACTAAAATCATTTAAATTTATAATTTATATAATTTTAATATAATTTGATATAATTTGATATAATAAATTCATATTTTAAACGTCTTTCCCGGGCTAACGCGCTAGTCTTTTCAATATGTTCAAAAAAATTTTTGTTAAACAGAAATTTAAGAATAAGGATAATATAATATGAAATTTCGAGAAAAAATCTTATATTGTTTCCAATACAGTACTGTAATTTGTTAATAAAAATAACGATTTCGAAAATTCCGAACTCACGTTGACATGAGAATCGAAACAAAACAACTTATCACAAGATATTACAGTATAATGTGTTGTTTACAATTTTATTGAACGCCTGCTACCAAATCAAATTTCCAATTGCTTGGTGCAACATTTTATTTTTGTATCTTTTCCGGTTATTTTGGTCCGACCAGATGATATCGTGTTACATGGTTCTTTCATTCTATTCCTTTTTTTTTGTTATAAAAGCGTTGTATTTTTGTCTAAACAAATAATAGTGTTTTGAATTGTTCGTTATCATTTCTACGAAAGCATTCCAAATGTTGGTTATGGATTTAATTGACATTACGTAGGCCAGATGAACCAACCAACGCATGTATTGATTAGGCTGCGCCGTTTAACTGTTTACAAATAAATGCGCGTTGTATATTTATCACGCGAATTTATCTACAATGTTACTGTATATGTGAAGCCAACTCTTTCCATTTATGTAGGGTCAGATGATTAAGTTGAAAAATATTTCCGATAAGACTTAACTTTTTTTCTTACATATCTCGCGCTTGTTGTTCACGAGTCCAAAAAACAAAGCTATAATACAGCGCTATTGTTGGAATTTTTAAATCCTTATCTATAAGCAACTGCCCATGTGATATATGTCGCCGCAAATATTGTTATCGGCTTCAAAAATCGACCATTTCCATCATGAATGGATATTTTACAAACTTGATAAAAAGACGGACTTTTCTCTTCTCACATTTTGTCACTAAAGCGTAATAACATGTTATTCTTTCCACACAAAATTTTCAAAACGCGAGAGATCAATTATCAATTATTTGATTTTTTTCGAATAGCAATTTGACTCAAAAGGAATATTTGTAATTATTGTATGCATATTGTTTAATCATACCAATATAATTATCGAAGGGTTGTTTAGTTTAGTCTTGACTTTTTTTATGGCCGAACTAAATATTTCCTGGAACAATAAATTAAAAATAATTTGGGATAGGGCATATTTTTTTATGAATCAAAGTATTTACAGGACATACAATCAAAGAGAGGAATATCTTAATAACATATTTTCCAATGATCCATCACTGACAGAACATGAGAAGAAGTTTTTGATCTATAAAAATCAAAAAAAGTACGATCAATTAAGAATAAATAATGATTCAAACGAAACCAGATTGTGTCCCAACTGTCAGAAATCATGTAGAGCAACGATGTACTGTGAAATTTGTGTTCGTCAAGATTTGGAGAGTAAGTTCGACACATGGACCTCAGGAAATAAAGAAATTGATGAGTTGATTAGAAATTGTCAACGAAAAACCGTATCACCACGACGTGTAATTGAATGGGTCGATTATGCACAGTTTCAAGATACTGTCAAATATATAAAAAAAGGTGGACGTTCCAAAATATATGAGGCAATTTGGAAGGATGGACATTACGATGGATGGAATCCTGAAAACCGATCGTTGAAGAGATCTGGTGCACAGCGAGTAATCCTGAAAAAGCTAAATAATTCGAATGAAAAATGGTTTCAAGAGGTGAGTTAAATGAAGTCATATGCATTGAATTTTCGTTATCACTTCATAATGTTAATTTATGAAAATTTCTTCAGGTGCTACATAACTTTGAGCTAGATTATACGTTCTTCTATCTGGCTCAATGCTTCGGACTAACAAAAAATCCAGAGACCAATGAATACATGCTGGTCTTATATCGCTTTGATAGTGACCTGAGAAATTTGTTGATTAAACATCATCCTTCGATTACATGGATACAAAAGTATGACATTGTCTTCTACATCGCCAATAGTTTAAAAGAAATGCATAAGAAAAAGATAATTCACAGGGATCTACACTCGGGCAATATATTTTATAACTCCAAAAATAATGTATGGAAAATTGGAGATTTAGGTTTTAGCGGCTCGGTAGATAAACCTGTTGAACAAGTTTACGGAAATCTACCATATATTGCACCCGAAGTACTTTACGGAAACATTTATGGTACAAAATCAGATATCTACAGTTTGGGTATTATAATGTGGGAAGTGTCGACCGGAAAAAGTCCTTTTGAAGATAAAATCTATCGTCATCTTAATGATAGTGAGACCCAACTTAACATGCAATTGGAAATAATTAACGGTGTGCGACCAGAAATACATAAAGATACCCCACCTGAATATGCAGAACTGATGATACAATGTTGGAATCCTAAACCTGACAAAAGACCATCGGCCTCTAAGATTGCCGACATTATGGGAGCACTTCTTAAAAGATCATATGAAGAGATGGGTAATGATGAATTGGCATTAAATACGCAACTCATAATTTCCATGAATGATCAAGAGGGGGAGGGGTGTGAAACAACTTCATTTAAAAATCCATCAAGTCAACTCCAGTTATCACAATCACGAAATACAACTGTCTCCAGTAGGTGAATCTTTCTCATTTACTACATGGAATCTTGATATGGTTTTTCAATTTCTCATCATTTCAAACAATAAAGCAAATACAGCATACATGACTTCTCAATACAGTCTAAAAATAACAGAAGGTACATTCGAGTGACTTTTTTCCTTAATAAAATTTGACCGAGTTCACTAATGTTTAATTCCTTTGCTTCCTAGACATTGAAAAAGAATACTTGAAATCCCGAAATACGAGTTTTCAAAACCCAGAAGGTACTGTGCACGTCATGGCATTCTTTGTGATTCTTGCAAATACTGTACCGTAAATCTAATCTGACGCTCTTTTGTTCTTGGCTTAACGTAACGCGCAACCCCAAAACAGCCTTCGATATTGTCATAAGGAATTTGAAATTTTATCATTTTTTTATTTCTTTATTTCTTTATTTCTATGATTTATTACCATTACAAAAAAGTTCATAATGAACATATGCAGTATTGCGGTATTTTGTCACTTTTTTGACTTACTTCCCACCGTAGTACAGTATGTTTAGTAAAGTAAGAAAGTGTGGAGAATTTCAAGTTACTACACGCATAAGTACACTTAATAAAGCTGTCTAAGCTGTTATGCTCAATAAATTTCTTTCAAATACTGTATTTAAAAAATTTATTTGTAAAAATTCTACCAAGAATCAAAGCAAAGACGAAAGAGAAAAATACTGTACAGTACTGTACTGTAGTGCGAAAATTTCCATAACTGTACGAATACAGTACTGATACAGTGATTATCATGTTCTCTTAGTTGGCGAGTACTGTATTATCCAAGAGTTTTTGATATTTTGATGGCAAAGTGTAAGAAAATCTCTAATGATTCGTTTGATTAAGATCAATTAAGAAAAGGGAGCAAGATCATTGATCAAATAGATCTTGGCATATGATGCTTTGAGCGACTGATAAACCTTATAAATATATCGGGTCCTTTGGATTACCATCTCTCAATGTTTAATAGAAAACCGAGAAACTTTGAATCCAAGAATGGCGGTATTACATAAAACTCCTTTGTCCAGGTTTTACCTCATGTTTATTACCTTATTAGCTTTACTTCCGATCATGCAAGCTACAAGTTTAAACGGAAACAGTCAACCAATAATGAAGCGTTTCATCCAATCGCGTAAAGCCCATATTCATAGGCGACAAGAGGCCTCGGCTCCAGTTTTATTTACGGTCAATACTGGTTTGGAAGGGACTGTAGAGTCTAATGAGTCCCATAAGAAACAGCTTTTTGCACTCGACGAAGAAGCAAAGGCGAAAACAAATGAAAATGAAAATGCCGATTCGATGCAGATTAACCCAATCAATTAAGTACTATCTTACAAGCGTATCGTATACGATAATTTCGGTCTAGTAAAATCTTACACCACGAAAGACTATGTTTAACACGAACGTTTTTTCTTCCAATAACTTTTTGAATCATAAAGTTTTTTATTCGAATAAAATAATGTATTCTAAATTTTCGCAGTTAGTGATCAAAAATTTAGAGTTTCCCAACGATTAATCTATACAATCTTTGATGATTTTTTTCCATGTGAACTTTTTTTTTCGACAAAGGCTAGGCGTTATTGGAAAATTTAGAAAAATAGACGATCATTGTCGGGATTCTGGTTCATCAATTAAAATATGACAATTAATCTTGGATAATCAATTGTTTAAATTCGTCACCACAATGTTCAAAAGCTGTAAGCCCATCAGCGTCCTTGATTGAAATATCAACATTATTTCTATATAAATATCTTGCACACTCAATATTTTCCGAGAGGCATGCTAAAGTTAGTAATGGCAAAGTTAATCTATGTTGTTGAAACACCTCTTAAATATAACAAAGGCACAATAAAATTACCATAATGTAAAGGGGTTTCATCTTCGCTAGTCTAATGGTATACAAAAAGTTAAAACATCTCAGACTTTTTGTTAGTCAACTCGCCATCAAACTATGTGTACAAATTGGACAAAGAAACATAAATTATCTTTTACCAATAAATTCACGTTCGCGCCACGTTCTATCAATAACTTGACAATTTCCAAGTGTCCACGATCACATGCCCAATGCAAAGGTGATAAGCCCTAGGCAATAATTAGGAGATTGATTAAAAATTGCCATATTTCTCTCCATAAAAACGCATCAGCTTAAATTACCTGATCGTCTTTTGCGTTAATGTCTACCTCGCCGGAATCCAGGATTTTACTTACCTCATTATACTCACCTTGTTTAACGTGCGCAAAAATATCATCACTAATAAATTATGTGCATAACAAGTATCGGAAATAACTACTTGTGAATCGCGAATAAACTGGAATAAAAAAAAAGATATAATAACTCACCCAATAAGATCATCTTCATTTTCGTAAGACAGAGTCGAAACATACGTCCATCTATCTTGTGGCGCACTATACGATTTCTATCATATATGACTCGGACGATAAGCCTCATCGCGAAATCGCGAATTCTCTTTCTTTTCTACTTTATCATCTAACATACCTCCTTTTCATCATCTCCGTCATTTACTTCGCTTCCATCTTCGTCTACACTATTTTTGTTCCATCCAACATTCTCAGCTTCGACCTTTTCGATATAAATATTCATTGCCGCTTCCTTGGAAATCCCACCTAATTCATTCCACGCATCCCATTTAGCTCTTCCTCGAAAATCCAATAGCGAAGGTCTTGGTGTATTGCATGCACCAATTGTCGCCACCTTATAGGCACCATAGAGCTGTTCGGATAAGGCAATGTGAATTCAGACATCGCTACCATGAATCTTCTTCACGATGAATCAATTTTACGACGGATGAGTACCTGTAATTTAACATCATTGGAAATGTTGATGTTCGGATGCTTGTTGAGGAACTTATAAGCAGAAACAAACTGTTTGGATAGTGTATCGAGGTTGTCATCCGTATCCGACATAATAAAAGAAGAGGGATCGTAGATCGTATCTTCGAATGTTACTGTATACTGTATACTGTATTGTGGCACTTATATACACCCCTTAAATTTTTTAATGATTTAATGATCTACGATGATTATTTACGTAATCGGTTAATTTGTTAAACCAGTTAGCACGTGCCTTAAATTAATCACGTGTTATAATAAATACGTATATAAAAAAATCTTTTTTATTTGATTAATTTTTTAAACTTTACATTTTCTATTTACTGTATTTCATTTTTTCATAAACACTCTATTTAAATAATGATGTTGCGTTGATTTGCAAGGTGTTGTTTTACATTTGCAAGTTGCTAAAATCAAATGTATTATTAAATGTAATAATATAAAAATTTATTTAAATTAATTTTTTTTTTTTTTTTTTTTTTTGAAGGAGCAAATGGCTACCACGCTATCATTTATTATTATAATTTTAAACTTGCGGGTTACAAGA